CCCAGAATTGCACAAAAATGGCATTGCGCACACTCTTGATTTATCCATCACACTGCTATTTCTCATAAATTACAAACATTTGCAAGAAAATGCAGGAAATTTTGTATCTTTAAACTCAGTAAAAAGCACATATATGAAATTACCTAATCGCGACAAAGTATATACCCTTCCCAAGGATGAACATTTCCACATATAATATAAATAAAATATCCAAAATTTTCCTCTAAATTATTATTATAAACGTCACCAACGAATTATAACGCAAACATTAAAAGGGTTACAAATACTTAGTGTGGAAATATTAAATTATTTCCATGCATTACTTCCATAAACTTATACAAATGCTAAAACATAAATTCACAAAAATAACTACATTTAATTAAAATATAATTAAATTCCAAAGATTAGCCATTCCCAGATGCATAGATATTTTTCAAAGTTTAAACGAACGCCGTGTACACAGTATTCTTGAAATTTATTGTTGTTATGTTAATTTATTTAAGCTAGGTGTGCATAGTTCGTATATTCCTTCGCTGCATGGATTGTGCAATTTTGTGATTTTTTTTTTAAGTTAAGACATATCACTGTGTACATGGATTCTTGTCGAATATTTTTGTTTAGAAACTTTACGTTTTTGCCATCTAAATTTTTCGTTTCGGATTTTAGCTTAAATTGTGTGTTCAAAACTTAGTTTTTGCACGTGCGAAAATCACGTTTTTGCAGACATTTTAGGCTGAAAGTTCGAAATGTAGACAAAAAATTTAGGTAGTAGTATGGCGGCATGGAGTTTCTTGCCAAAAATATTTGGCGAAAATTTGTCGCCACATCTAGCAACCTGAGAGCGCATATAAGAGTAGTTCTATAAAAATTGTCTTATTTTTAAACAGGTTCTTATTTTAGAAGGGATTGTGCATGTGTATGTGCTTGAAACATTCTAAATTAACTGCTTTATGATAAAATTCCACTGCTATTTATTAAAAACTCCAAATTAAATCCCTTATTTATGTGAGAATTTATGATCATTGTTTTTTTAGCTATTATTGGTGGAGGCATAGGTGGGACTTCCTGTGCTTATTTCTTAAATAAAGTTTTTGAAGGAAAAGCTCAGCTAACATTATATGAAAAAGATGTAATTGGAGGAAGGCTTGGTTTGCTAAATATTGATGGGGATCTTTATGAATCCGGTGGTTCTGTCATTCATCCTACAAATAAACATATGATGGATTTTACTAAGCTTCTAGGTAATATGGCTTAAATTAATATATTTGTTAATTATTATCAATTATGTTATAATAACAAAAACAGCATTTTAGAACCATATGTTTATTTCTCATATCATTAATTTATTTTTCATATCATTCTCATATCATTAACCCTTTTGCGATGGGTGCCTCAGGCACCGAGCCTTTCGAGTCAGCATGCTAACAGAAGCTAAGTCTTATAATGGGCAATTTGCACTGCTAAGCCTAATTTTGGAAAAGAGTTTCGATAAATTAAATTTGCTGCCCACTTGTTCCGATTTTTGGGCAGATAATGAGAGGAACACTCAGATAGTTATCAGAATCAATTTGCAAACCGTATTATTACATTTTTATTGCCATGTATAAAAAATGCTTTGCTAAAGGCTATACAAAATGATAGCTAGACTCAGAACTTCTAAAGCAATGGCTCCTATATCCCCATATCGCCGAAAATAAAAACAAAAGTATTTAGAAGCATCGAGAACATCCGCATATGTTTATGTCAGCTGACGCAGTTAACGGGCCGCTTTATTTACTTAATTACTCAACCTAGGGTTTCCGCTTTGATGAAACAAAATATCAAAACTAAAAAATACTGCTACAGAATGAAAAATCAGTGTTCTCCAGTTACAATAAATTCCACCATAACAGACAGTGGCCATCTAGTGGCAGCAAAAAGATACTAACTAAATGTTCTATCAAAAAAAATTATGTGGGGTACAACATTGTAAATGTGAATTTAAACAGCGATTCATGGGTTTTTGAAGAGAACGGTTAGTTTTGAGAGCTTTTCCCCTGAAACAAAAAGTGAGAAGTTGTGACGTAGTCATAGTGATATTGACCACAAAGATACAATTCACAGCAAAAAATTAAACCAGCCTTAAAAAGGTTAATAAGTGTTTAAAAAGTTTTTCTCCTCTGCATTTTTTTTACTAAATCATGAAGGAAAAAAACTATTCATTATCTTTTCATCTGCATATTAAGTGGGATTAAGATAACTAACAGCTTTTTAAATTTAGGGGAAAAAAAAAAAGCAACCTTTGATTGACATAGTTTTGAACATGTATAGTATTTGGGGGGGGGGGCAAGCTAAAGAGGATGAACTGACATTTGATGCCCTTGAAATCAAATAGTTTGATTCAAAATGTTCTAAGATAGCACTTTTGGCGTAATTATGAATTTTACATTGGTGTTTTTCTCTTCCAATTTTGATATAATAATAGATATTTTTTTAATAATTGTCTGATTTGTATGCATCTATACACATATATTACATTTTAATAAATATAAGATTGTTGACTTAAGTTTGATAAAAAAAAAAAAAAAACCCATTGCTCACAGAGAATTGCTCACTGATGCTGATGAGGCCCGCTTACAAGAACTTGTTGAAGAAGATCAGTATGCAGCAACAACTCAAGAGCTTGCTAGAGAGTTAGACGTAGTGCCATGTCCATTAGTCGTGCTCTGCATCACATAAACTTGACTTACATAAACTTGACTATAATCAATCGTTGGGTGCCGCATGAGGCTGACCCAAGCAGATAAGAACAGATGTGTTCGTGCATTACTACCAGCACTAATCTGCTCAAATACCATACCAATGCAAAGACAAAATTCGAGATGTATCATCACTTGTGATGAAAAGTGAATTTACTTCAACAATTTGAAGGAATTTGAACACAGGTCGAATTTAGTCTGCGTCTGGTGAGCCCATCAGAAGCATTCCAAAGCATGATTTGACTAACAAACAGATCATGCTTTGTATCTGGTGGGATAGCCGTGGTATTATTGACAGAGTATCTTTGAAAAAAGGGAAATAGCTGTGTCATTACATACATAATTGTTTTTCTAATTGAAATTGAAAAGCAGTCAAAATGACTTCCTTAGGCAATCTAGTGTTAATAAGCAGAATTATAGAAAGATTTGCTCAATAGGTTTCTGTATGAAATAGCACGCATTCAAAGAGAAAGCAACAGACTACAGGTTTAAATATTAATGTATATAAGGTAAAGTCCTAATTTTAATTTGTAATATTTCCTTAAATCTCTTTTTTAATTTAATTATTTCCCCTTCTTTATCATAAATTACTAATATGCATATAATAAATCTTTCTGAAGTGCATTATCCTAAATTAATCCTTATCAACTGATTTGTATATGACTTTAAAAAACACATATTTAGTTTTATTTAGTGTTAAACACAACAGCAAAAGTGAAACTAAAATTTCTATCCGATGTAATCAAGTTTTAACTTTTTAATTGATAGTATGGAAATGGTTTTTTTTTTATATTTTATTTGTTAGTCACAAAGAATAAAATTAAAAGAAAATTAAAAGAAAAAATTAAAATTAAATACACTAAAATATGTATGAACCAACCTGACATACTTTATTGTGTAAAACCATTTAGCTCCATTATCATCTCCAACTTGGAACTTTCACACTGAACTTTCTGTTGTTTGTAACATATGCAAATAAATATTAATATATATATGTGTGTGTGTGTGTGTGTGTTTGTATATGTTGAATAATAAATATTTATATATATTGTTATATATGTTGAATACAGTCAAAAGTTGTTAATCGGACTCGTCAGACTTCGGCGATTCCGGATTATAGATCATCACTTAAATCTGGTAAGATGGCATACAAAATTATAAAATTAAAAATATGAAACCATAAACTTATGAAATAAAGAACAATTATGATCTAAAGGTATCACAATTTACAAAAAAAAAAAAAAAAAAAAAAAAAAAAAAAAAAACTTAATATTTATTTGTTTACTTTATTAAACATTTCTTTCAATGTAAGTTGTTTAAGTTGCTTCGTTTATGTGATAATACTTTCTCTTTAATTCTATAACAAACATAATTTCTTGTTCAGTTACAAAGTCCACTGTTCAAGTCCTATAATTGCTGTGTGTCGAGGATACCAACTAATTTGTCTTTTGAAATTTTTTCGTTTCAATAACCTCTGGTCACTTCTCTCACTATCGGAAGCGAATTATAATGACGAGGAATTTGATTTAAATCATATCAAAGACGGAGCACATGAGATGAAATACTACATTTATAGGAATTATAAGCCAAATAAAATAAAAACATCTGCCCTGAAGATAGGATAGTGTGACAGATCATTTTCCAATTCATTGCGTGCCACAGCGTGCCCCCCCCTGCCTCAGAGCAGCGTGAAATTGATAAACAGATGTCGGAATGGTTAGAGAAACAAAGGATATGCCTTTATCCATTTTTTGCAGCAATTCCACTTTTTGTTTGATGGACATCGAAACATACTTTGCTTTGTAGATCCTTTGGGAGCTCCAGCATCAGAAATTCTATTTGACATAATCGAAAGTTCAAGCTTACTTTTATAAAATTGCTCTGACAGTCTGCCGGATTCAATTCGAAGATTAAGGAACAACGTAATCTGCAACATTAACTGAAATAGATAATTAGATAATTTTAGCTTATACCGTCTGTTCTACATTAAACGCTCATGCGTCAACGCTAGCTTTGAGGTCCGGATTATAGATCATTCCGGATTATGGGTGTCCGAATTAACGACTTTTGACTGTAATAATATTATATATATATTTTTATATGTTGTATTTATTATGTTGTATCATTATATATTTTATATTTATTATGCTGTATCATTGATATATTTTATATTTATATACAAATTTTTTTAAATTATTAGATTTTCTGTGTGATTTCTCATATAGCTAACAATTTTCAGGTTTTGAGTCTTCGAAACCTCCTGCAAGTCACTTTGGAATATTTGATGGGGAAGAATTGTATTCAGAGAAAGTAATTGGCACTTTTTAACACTTGCAAAATTTTTGTGGCGCTACGGTTTCTCTTTCCTTGATCTCTGGAAGGACGTGAAATCCATGTTAGAGGATTTTAACAGGTATGAAATATTACTTTGTGTTTTTTATGCAAATTGAAAATAAAGCTCTTAAATTAATTTTGTATAATAAAACAAGTTGAGTGCACTTATCATTAATTGATGTAATTTCTGATTATAAAATTTGTGTGTGTATTTTTTAACTAGTATACTTTTGGAAGTATGCTTTTTTTTTATATTTAAAAAAATTGAATCATTTTAATCAATTTCTTTTTTAATTTTTTATCAAAACCAATTTTCTCAGTTCTAGAAAATTCAATTTAAATGAGTTAAAAAATAAAAATGGCAGATGATAATATGGCAAAGGTAAAATTTTCCTTTTACAAGCATTAAAAAAGGAAGAAAACATAGTTAAAAATTGCTTTTTTATATCATTAATAAATATTATTATACATAATGTGTAAAATGAAAATAAATTTCATATAAATAATTCTGAGTAAAAATGTATTTATAAATTTAACATCAAAAGTAATTATAGCAATTCATTGAAGATTGTAGCAAAGTATGTAAACCATGCCTGGCTATATTATTACTTATAACAATATTTCAAATATTCAAATTTTAGAAACATTTTTTAAAATGCAAAATTAAGCAAATTTATAACTTTGCCATAAAGCACAAATAGAACTACAATTCAAATAAATAAAAACTGACAAAAGATAGTATAGCACCAGTAATGGATAAGAATGTCATAGTGTGATGTAGCCGTTCCTCAATAGACACTAATGCCGGCTAGCTTTAAAAGGATTTAATAACAGAGCACACAGGAACGGTTACAAACAAAATAAATTACATAAAAATGAAACATATACCAATGGAACATCAAAACATTGAGAATAACATAACATTGTAAGCTATCATCATGGCGGCTGGAGGTCGACTGACGTTTTTTCATATCGCCACGAGATGGCGTTTAAATAAAATAGTTCGGTTACAGTTCATGAGTTCATAGCGTGAATAAAATAGTTCAATTACACTTAAATAGGTCTGTTACATCCTCCCCCTCTGACTTCGTAGACGTCTCGGCAAGAAGTCAGGAACTGACATTTGTCTACTTTGTGCAGCGGGCGGAGAATCAGATGGATGGGCTCCAGTTTGACAAGCAGGAAATTTAGTGTCACCAGCACCTTGTGCAACAGGTGCAGATTCGGATGGTATTACACGTCTCAGGAGTCCTCTTTTCTTTAAGGGAACCACTGGAATTACACGAGCTGAGTTTTGCTTATTTCGATCTTGATATGGTTTCAAGGCTGAAACATGATACTTGCCGAGAATTTTGTCTAGTTCAGTGAAGATCGGTAATATCATAAGTGGTTGAAAGATCTTGTAGTCAGTATCACATAAGGACCATCTCACTTGGGACATGAATTTAAGCAGTTTTCTTTCAGTGGACTTTTGCTGATTGGTGTGGAGAGTGACCCAAACTTTATCTCCAGAAACGGATTTTGGAGTGTTTCTCTTCGTTTTTGTACCAGCATATCGTTTCTACTTATCTTGATGTAATTCGACTCCTTCTCGTACCTGTTGTACATTTCTTGCAAAACGTTTCAAACATGGAGAGTAATTTCGGGAACAAAAATCGTTCTCAATTACGGCTTTATATCATGCTTTACATCATCTAAGGTTCGTAACTCTCGTGCAAATTGAAGAAAAGAAGCAGAATGTCCAGTTGAATCACATTTGGCTGTATTCAAAGCAAACCTTATTAATGGCAGCTTATCCTTCCATGACTGATGGTCGTTACCAACAAGTATTGCTAAACGCTGGTTTCAAGATCTCTATTCTTCTTTTTAACTGGGTTAGATTGTGGGTGATAGACAGGAGTAAAGACTTTGATCAATGTTTAAGATATAGCATAGTTGTTGCATAACAACACTAGTAAACTGGGCACCATTATAACTTATTATTTTCCTGGGATATCCCAAATCGAAGGGCGACTTTTTCCAAAAGAATAGTGGCACATTCTGGCCGTGGCTTCCTAAAGCAAATGTTCTGTCCACTTTAGCACAGTCCTACACAATAAAAATCCATTTTTCACCTAGACTGGCGTTTCAGGAAGGGGACCGAAAAGATCAATTCGACAAGGTCTTAAAACGTTGAGCATAGGACTGGAGTTTGAAGTAAGCCAGATGGCTTTTGATAGTGGTTTTTCTCCCCCTACTTTGAAGACAGTGTGATATTGTTAAACAATGCATCAGTTGCAAGCCGTTGGGCTGTAGTTAATTGTTGTCCTCGTTTCTCGTAGTTGGCAGTTGTTTACAACAACTGGGGTTTCTTCCAGTACTTGGGATTGATGAGGTTCACGAAGCTATTTTTCTTCGAGGTTCATCAGAAAAGTTCCACTTATTTTCAGCAAGATTTAAAAAAATTTAGCTTTTTGAAGAAAGTCAGTTCCTAACAGAGTCGAGTTTATTTTTGGAATCAGGCAACACAAGGAGCGGAGTTTTGACTCTCTGCCTCGAGAAGAATGATTGTTCGGTGCAAAGTACCTCTTTTTCAGATACCAAACCATCAGTGAAAGACACCTGTAATGTTGTCTTTTCAATTACTGCATTTTGTTTCTGCAGAGTATGATTGAGGTATTCACTTGCGATCGAGTGACTAGCACCACTGTCGGCGAAAGCTGTACCGGAAGAAACACCACCAATACTAATTCGAAATACAGCAGTCCGTGTGGAAGATAAACAGGATCATATTTGGATAGTGCCAAAATTTGATGAATTTGAAGTTTTTGGGGGTTACAGTCTGGACATTTAGACTTGATAAAACAGCAGTTTTTCCGCACCCATAGCATGTTAAAGGAGGTCGGTTTTCCTCCGTTTGCTGCTGACCACGATTTGAAAAGGTTTTACGAAGTTCCCTGTATGTCACTTGTTCGATTTTCTACTTTGAGTTAGGATGGATTAGTCGTTTGAAAGAATAGTTCCGCCACCTGCCAGGAAGTTGAGTTTTATAGTTCGTATTTTTAAGACGCACAGCTTCATAATTATCCAATTTCTGTACTACTAATTCAGATGAACTCTTTATTTTTCCCAAGTATCAATAAAATGCTCCTTACATCACTACTGACTCTTCTTTTAAGCTGATCCGTCAGGACCAAGTCTTTGAGTGATTCAAAGTCTCTAACATCGAGACTATGCAGCCCACTCTTCGAGATAATTGTTTAATTCGTAAGCAAAATCTTTCCATTAGGACCCAGGCTGTCTTTGGGGTGTGGTAAGTTTAATTCGAAATGATTCAGCATTTAATTTGACTCTTTGGTAGCAGAATATTCTTGATGTATGAATAATCTTATAATTTATCCTTTTCGGCTCTCTTAAAATAATTTGCGAAATGCCTATAGGCAGAAGAGGTAGGAGATGAGTGATATAATCTATTTGTTTTATATGAACTTTCTCCACATTGTCTTTCAAAAATTTGCAGGTAGGTTGTAATGTCAGAAGTTCCTTGTAAATTTAGGGATTAGGTGCTGAATATTTGTTTCCAATAGCTGTGCATTGAAGCAAAGACGGCATGGTAGGCATAGGAGGGTTTGAGCTAGCAGCTGCCAGGTTTAATTTTAAACGTTTCCAATTCTAATAAAAGTTCTTGTTCTTTTCTTTGACGTGTCTCCAGATCGTTGCTTTCACGTTTGTTTTGTTGTCTAGTTCGATTAAAGTTTCCAGAAGATTCCTGGTAAAAAGCCTCATCATAAGTGTCAGAATTGACAATAAGATCTTTAAGATCTATTACTCGCATAGTGTCGTTTACAGTGAAACCCAGTTCTGCAGCGATAGTTTTTAAATCCTCTTTTCGTGCTTTGGCAAGGTAAGCCATAATTATATGAGAGGTCAGGGGGAGGGGGAGGGAAAGGATGAAGTTGAATTTGTTGTTATTTTCGATTTTATTTCACAATACTGTAGTTTAGAATTAATAATTATACCTTTAAAGTAAAATGTATATACCACTATTAAACAGCATTGTATATACCCCTATGTAAACAAACATGTATAAATGTAAACAATAGTACACTTACATTTATATACCACTATTAAACAGCATTTATAAATTGTAAACAATAATACTGGCAAAGCTTATTATCATATTTGAGTCCGTAAAAATATCATAAAATGCCCTTCATAAATTCAACTTGTATCAAGAAAATAACATATAGTAAATTGCTCAAAAAATTGTTTACTACTTAGCAAAACATACATAAATGTCTTACCATAAGCTTTTAATTTAAGCTGAAATCCTTCGAAATCCTAATCTTAACAAAAATATTAAGCTGATTAAGCAACACACACTTAGTAAACTCTTTTACTTTATTAAATAGTCATTCGATTTTATTCATAATTATTTTCTTTCGCTTCAAGAAATATTTTCAAGACATGCCTTCATTAAAGGAAAACAATCGTATTTTTCTAAAGTATTATACTATAATCATTTTCTCAAAATGTTCGTCGAAAGATAAATCAACAAGTACAATATTTTATTTTATGTAGAATAAAACATTTAATAAGGAACAACAGCACTCAAAGGAAAATAAAAATAATAAAGATTGATGTAAACACATCATAAATCATCGCTAGTCTAAACATTTCCGCGGGGGGAAAACATCTGCTGCTGTATGTCAGAAGCGAAACTAATAAATTCTAATGAACAACGTCCATGAATAGATTCAAACTTTAACATCAAAACATGTATTCAGTGTGAAACAATATTATCTACAAATTAATTTAATATGCATTAACATTTTAAAATAGCGCGCATTAACATTTTAAAATAACGCGCATTAACAATTTTAAAATAGCGCGCATTCATTAACATTTTAAAATACGAAAATTACAGTTCAAGAAATAAACGTTTGGTAACAGAAAGCCGTTGCTTTCGTTTAATACTCTTATGTAGTATCAATCAATAAATGAGATTTCAGTAAAGAATTTACATTTGCTTTAAGAAGCCAGCTATATATAATAAATAATCAGTTTAAAAGAATTTTAAACTCGATAAACGATAATGTAAACGAAACTTATCTTTTCCGTTTGAAAGTATGCCCTAGTTGATGATTCGATGTGCTAGCAGCACGGCATGACAATTTAATTTACAGAATTCGTTTCCAGAATTTTTGACCAGTAGTCCACACCTGAAAACAAACTGATGAGCCGATCTCCAGCAACTAAAAGTTAAATTCGGGAGTAAGAGCTTGTTAAAGCCAAAGCCAAACAGAAATTCTAAACATTTACGTTGCGCCATTTTGGATTCAAATTTAAGTTGGGCGCCAATGTGATGCAGCCGTTCCTCAATAGACACTAATGCCGGCTAGCTTTAAAAGGATTAATAACAGAGCACACAGGAACGGTTACAAACAAAAGAAATATACATAAAAATGAAACATATACAAATGGAACATCAAACATTGAGAATAACATAACATTGTAAGCTATCATCATGGCGGCTGGAGGTCGACTGACGTTTTTTCATATCGCCACGAGATGGCGTTTAAATAAAATAGTTCGGTTACAGTTCATGGCGTGAATAAAATAGTTCAATTACACTTAAATAGGTCTGTTACAATAGTGCTTTGGATGTATTCCTGGGGAATGGCAGCCTATGCTGCCTTCACATGTAGCCATCTGGTGTACCTGCAGCATGCCAGGTTAGGCATTCTTCAGTCATTGACTGGACATGTTGAATAATCAATAGATCTGGAGAATGGGCAGGCCAGGGTAACAATGCAGCATGATGGGCTAAGAAGAAAGCTTGACTATTGCATGCAAAGTGTAGTTGCACATTGTAATGTTGAAATGTGGCAGCAGGCAAGTCCTGAAATAAAGAAGGAGAACAGGAAGCAAAACCTCAAAGATATAGTGCTAGCCGGTAAGTGTACCAATAATGCCTGCTAGTGGGATATGGGAGTGAAATCCAATACTACCCCACACTATAACGCCAGGTGTAAGACCAGTATTACGATGCATACATAACAGTCAAACAGTCTCTCTTCACAATTACTCCAAACTAATCTGACTATTGTAGTACTGCAGGCAAAAATGTGATTTGTCTGAAAACACAGTGTCATGTTCCATCTCTGCCATTCGGTGCATCATTGCAAGCGGCTGTGGTTTTAAAGGTAAGTGAAGCAATGGACACTTAGTGCATAATCCATTATGCTGTAAGTGATGTCGAATTGTTCATGTAGACACCAAATGCTGTATTACAGACTGCATTTCATTTTGATATAATTGCATATGTGGCAGTGCTATGCACACAATATGCCCATCTTCCCAGGTTGTGCGACAAGGCAGTTGCTTCTGTCTGTTAGTTGTTCTGTCATGCATGCATCAATTCCATATCTACATGATTGTTTCTTGGCTACATCTGACACAATGACCGATTTCATGGAGGGATAATCTGCAATCTCCATATGCAACAATTCTACTGTCAAACTAAGAAACATGCTTGATGAGTGTTTTTTTTACAAAGCATACTGAAACTGCACACGTAAAAAATCTCGCAAGAGAACACTTCGTATTATTCAAAACAGCAGTCTTTCCACCCTTTGCATATGGATTAATAGGAGCAGTCACCCATGATTGTGCGCTTGTGCTGAAATCATAATCATTTGTGTATTTCATCGTGGTATATATGTGATGCAAGTTTCATGGTGTAGCATTTGGATGGTCAGCAGCGTATTTCTCAAAACCTGATTCATAGCAGAAGCAAGGTGGGTCAATAACTGGTTCACAGTTATGGTTGGTAATAATACTACTGAAGTTTTTGTTGTATGTAAAGCAGATTTTTATGTTGGAGTCATTAATTAGGAAAAATTTGGTATTTTTTGAGTAATCTGTTAAATTCAATAAATTAAATGTTGGGATACATAAAATCGATTTTACAATAGTTAATATTATAAATTTTGTATTTAGGGATTCTATATTTAATGAGATCTTCAGTCGAGTTGTGCGAACTTTGTATTCAGAGGTGTTGCTATGCAAAAAAATTATCAAATACTTATAATTCTTTGTTTTTTTAATGTGAGAATGGTTTTTAAATTTCTTTACCTAAGTTACTGCTGTTGGATTTATTAGTAATTTTATAAGTCAGAGAACAATCAAAAGTTCTGTTACTTTTTCCACTGAAATGGGAGCCTCTCTTAGTTTGAGTTCTGAAAAATTACAGACTTTCATAAATACTAACTTGGTGGTAAGTTTATGCTGTAAATAAAAGTTAGTGTTTAGTTCACATGGGCGAATTCTTTTGAATTTCAGCGTATAATAAGTTCCTTCATTATATCTTTCTGTAGTGTTGAGAATAATTTCCAAGATTTTAATTTGTACAATTCTGCTAGTTAAAATGCTGCAATTCAGTAGTATAGTATATATACATATTTATACAGTCAAAAGTCTTTAATCCGGACGTCCAAAATCCGGAATGATCTATAATCTGGACCTCAAAGCTACAAACTTTCTGCACACTTTTACACATGCACATATGCATTTACGCATGCGCGTTTAATGTATAATGGATGGCATAAGCTAAGCTAAAATTATCTAATTATCTGTTTCAGTTAATGTTGCAGATTGCATTGTTCTTTAATCTTATAATTGGATCCGGCTTATTATTTTTTGCAAACTGTTAGAGCAATTTTATAAAAGTAAGCTTGAACTTTCAGTTATGTCAAAATGTATTTCCGATTCTGGAGCTGCCAAAGGATCTACAAAGCATGAAGTTTATCAATTTCATGCTGCTCTGCGGGGAGGGGGACGTCGCGGTACACAATGAACTAGAAGTTGATCTGTCAGCACTATCCTTATCTTCAGGGCAGATGTTTTTATTTTATTCGACTTATAATTCCTTACCTAATGTAGTGTTTCATCTCAATGTACTCCGTCTTTGATATGATTTAAATCAAATTCCTAGTCATTATAAATATCACGAATACACATCAAATAGTTTCTGGTTGCAATTTTCTAATTTCGACTATGCGTAATGTATGCTTTACGCATGCGCGCATTGAAAGTAAACAAATAAATATTAAGCTTTTTTTTTGTAAATTTTGATACCCTTTATATCATAATTGCTCTTTATTTCATAAATTATGGTTTCATATTTTTAATTTTATAATTTCTGCATGCCATCTTACCAGATTTAAACTGATGATCTATAATCCGGAAAAACCGATAATCCGGAATTGCCGAAGTCCCTACGAGTCCGGATTAAAGACTTTTGACTGTACTTTCTATTAATATTAAAGTATGAATTTCGTTATTAAAACAGATTAGGTATTTGAAACCATTAATAGCAAATGTTTTAATTTTTAGCATCTATGCTTTACAAGAAAAGGAATATTCGTTTACTACTGTGAATGGATTATTGGAGTATATGAGCCCATCATTTCGAAATTTAACTCAAGAAAGTATTGGTTCATATTTAATGAAGAAAGGTTATCCAAAACTTTTACTGGAAGAATTAGTACAATCTGTTATGATGGTAAATTATGGGCAAACAAATAAGATAAGTGCTTTTGCAGGTAAGAAATTTATAACATTCTCATTTAGGATATTTTTTTTTTTTTTTTTTTTTTTTTTTTAAAGTTTTTGACTTTGATCTTTTTTTTTCTCATTTCTTATTCATATTTTTTCACAGTTTATTTATATTTTTTGTTTTATTAATTTTTTAGATTTTAATTTGCAGTTTTACTTTTCCTAAGAGAGCTTTAATGATGTTAATTGTTATAATTATAAATTAATTATTTGTGTTTTAAATAATTAAAAACCATAATGTTTTTAGATATAAGGCTAGATAATATAAATACAGTTATATAATGCTTATCATCTAAGTTTTAAAAAGTTATTCAGAATTGACTATATGTATTATGTAGGCAAATGCTTCTATATCATTCTTCATATCTGCATTAAAGTATCGTAATGTTCCATCTCTGAGCCCCAAACTGAACAAGTAAAATTAAAATTGCTAGAAAACTGCATGAATTTTAAGAATGATAACAAATGAATGCAAAGTGAGACGAAACAGTATTGTTATGTGTGTATGGATTCGTAATATATTGAATGCACAAGTCTGATAAAAGGTTAATAAAATTTATTCCTATCAAAAGAAATATAACAGAATGATGGAATTATTCTCAGAAATATTTATACAAGTGTTTATAATACCACACAGTAATAATCAGTAATTATCCTTCAAACTACTAAATCGTTAAATGGAATGCAATCCACAGCGCAGAGAAAGCTAATCCGATCAACAATAGCTACAGCAGCTGACTAAATAACTGCACTGAGATCCGGCTTTTTAAAGCTTTCAATTGGTCTTGAGAGAGTTCTAGTAATTTGTTTGCTTCTCGAGATTTCTGGAAATCAACACTAGGATGGAATTATGATTACAGCTAACAACTACATTTATTCAATTTCAATACAAATAAAAAAGATATCCATTTATTCAATGCGTGCTCTTATATTTTTGCTTTTTCAGCGTGGCTTTCTCTTAAAATTTTTCACGTGCTCCATTGCACAGAGAAATAAAACTATTTTAATTATAATTTTACTAAAATGAGCTATCTAAATACAAAATTTCTAACACTGCCTCCTTCCCAAGGACTGCACGACCCAGGCAGTACAATCCCTGGACAGGAAGCCAAAGGTATAACTAAGGTTTCAATGCAATAATAAACATTATATTACAGTAACAAAGAACATAAACAATAATTACAGTAACTTAAAACAAATGAAATACAAAATAAATAAATGAGTGCACAAATTTAGAAATTTAGGAACAAAAAGGACCGTGGTCTTATACTATTTACACTATATACACTACATACTATGCTATAGTAAGGAGCTAGCCTGTCATAATGATCGACTTTGGGCATACAATTCGAGGATTTATGGATCCAATCTATGACGTCGTTCAGCCTGTTTAGGACTGCAAGGACCATCCCAGAATGACTGTAGTTTAGGACAGAGTCCTTTCTGTCGAATCAGATTCCACAACCACAAATTGTCTCCTTCGTTGAATTGATGTCCAGTAGCTCTCTTGTCGTATTGTGTCTTCATCTTCTTGATTGCCACGTTAACTTGCTGTAATTCAAAATTGTGCATCACTTCAAACCGGGTCTAGAGGTCTTTGATGTATTTCTCAGGCGAAGAAGGCACATCTGGAGAGCAGCCAAACAAGAGATCACAAGCTGGCGAATGTCACGATCGAAGAATATCTGAGATTGGAAATAGCCAGTAAACTCGTGGACAGCACTGCGGTAAGCCAGTAAAAACAGTTGTAACTTCTTGCTCCAGTTCTTGTTGGTTTCTGAAAACCACCAATGAGAGGTTATTAAGGATGGTTTGATTAAACCTCTCTACCATTCCCGTCTGACTGGGGAAGTAAAGGTGTCGTTTGGATTTTGTCGATGCCAAGTAGCTTGCAGAGCTCTTTGATTGCAGCCAAGGTAAAATTCCTTCCCTGATTGGAATGTAACTGAAGAGGCACTCCGAACCTGGAAATCCAGTGTTCTATCATTATCTCTGCTACTGTGACATCCTCTTGATCAGGAATAGGATGTGCTTCAGGCCACTTGGTGAGGTAATCAATGACAACGAGCATGTATTTGTTGCTATCAGCAATTCATGGCAGAGGTCCCAAGATGACAAAGGCAATACGTTCAAAAGGTGCTTCTACATTGTACTGTTCCAGCATCCCTCAGCTACGTTTTTTCGTCTTTTCCGGCCTGTACAGGCATTGCAAGACACTACTTTTAATGTTATCTTTTACGTTAAACCAGTAGAAGCACTCACGATCTCTTTGGAAGTCTTCATTATTCTAAAGTGGCCTCTTGTAGGGCTACTAGGTAGCTCTTTAAAGATGTCTGTGATTTTGAAAGGATCAGCTGCCATTGGAAAGCCTTTCCATAATCCAATTTGAATTTCCAGTATAAGACACTGTTAAGAATGTGTAGTGAGTCCCAAGAGAGCCCAGTATTATTTTGTCATCAGTCTACAGAACAAAATGTCCTGCCAGGTAGGTTTTTCTATTTGAGGACTCTGCTAAGTCAATTATGGGTCTAATGTTGCAATCTCCCAGCTGATCTTTCCTGACTTCTTTGTCACGCCATGGGTCTCGATCAACCAATGTTGATGTTGTAGTCTGTCGTATGACCGGATTCAGCAACTCGTGTTCCTCTTCGACCCTGGTACGATATCAGCAGCTTTCTGAGAAGGGTCTTCTAGACAAAGCGTTGGCGTTTCCAGGTGAGGTTCCTTTCTGATAATGGATAGTTATGTCTTCAGAGGCTGAATGCAGTTCGTTATTTTTAAAGTTCAAGGAAAAGTTGTATTTCTTTAGAAAGTCCAATCCGAATGTAAAAAGATTTGTAATATCTGCCACATATGCCATCACCAACGTTATCCTCCGGGTCACAGCTTCAGTATTCATTTCACATGTAGCAGCTATGGCAACTAAATCATGACAGCCAGAAAAAAAAATATGTGAAACACATGTTATTTGTGACATAAGTGGAACTAGGAACTAACCACATATGCCATGTGATAGTAGGCGGCACTTCCAAACCTGACGTTTATGTTTAACTTCTCATCTATGTCAATTTTATCACCAAACAAAGTCTGGAGGGTAACACAGGATGGCGTACAAATGAGTTCATCTTTAAACTGTTGAGCTAAATCTTCCTGAATATTGGTAACATACACTTCTGTATCGATCACTATATTGCAAGGAACTCCATTAATATGTGCCATGATGAAGAGTCCATTTTTGCCACCACTCACTGCTGATATCTGAAGTGTATTGAAATGAGGCTTCTCATTATCCTTTAAATTCCTCTCTGTGATATGGCCATTAATTTGTTTCTTGCATTGTTGCTGGGGAATGTTCTTAATTTCCGTGCCCTGAGGGTTCCTCCGTATGTGGCCTTCAACACTGCAGTTCCAGTATTTTAATATTGGTTTCTTTTCACTCCTATTCTGTCTCAAGGCCACTCTGTTCCGACTTGTTTTGTCAAATCAACCGTTTTATTTTCCGTGCCCTTTGGTATTCTGCAATACTGGCCTTCAGTACCACATTTCCAACACTTTACAGCCAGTTTGTTCTCACCCCTACTCCATATCAAAGCATTGACTAGTCTGAATAAATTATCTGAACAAGCCATAACTTGATCCACTGGCTCCTGGGCGTGAGCAGCTTATTGGGTGGCAGTCTCTACAAGTTGCTTGCTGGGCTGCCTCGAATTTCATGGAGTACACCAGAGCACTTTTTAAATCCTTCACATCTGCCATTCCAAAGCTTTCTGTATTTCAGGATCCTGGATGCCATCGATGAAGTACTGCAAGGACAAAATTTCCCTTGTTTCTATAGGCCATCCCGGAAAGGTGAGACGAGATAGCCTTTCTACATCCAGAGTCTTTCCATGGGCTTATGTTGACAAGATTTTAATTGAAGCCTGCTGTAGTCTTTTAAACATTTCTCCCCAAAGCGCATCTCCAATGCACCGGACAGAGCTTTGAAATCTAGCCTTTTGTTTTCGGGAAGAGTCTGAAGGATATCTTCTGCATCTGCTCTTAGAGAAGTGGCGAGGTGACAGGCTTTGGCTTGGGAATCCTATCCATTCACTTCCGCCACTGTAAAAAATTGTGTCTTGTATACTTGCCAAGAGGTCTTCCCATCATATGTGGATAACTTAAGAGAGGAATGAGCAGGCATTGTCAAAAATTAAGACATCAGAATTGCTTCATGCTGTCGCTTTTCTTTAATGTGTCAACATCTTTGGCAACGACAGTAAAAACTATGTCTTTGATTTGTTGTTCGGTATGTCCTTTAACAGCAGAAACTTTTTCTTCAATTTGTTGTTGGACAGCCAAAACTCTTCCTTTGATTCATTGCTCCACAGCAGAAACTCTCTCTTCTATGTGTTCAGTCACTGAAGAAACTCTTTCTTCAATGTCTCCAACTTTATTTTCAACATCGTCTATTCTCCCTTCCATAGCCTCAGATTTGTTTTCTATTATGCAGGTAATTTCTTTTTTTATTTCCTCTTGACCTGCTTCAATTTTCTTGAACAACTTTTATCGGTTCTTTAATGGAATCTTGGCTAGCTTTCATTTCTTCTTTAAAGGCAGCAAAGTGTGCCATGGACTACCTTAATTGTTCTTCCATTGCTCTTCTCACTGCATTCAACCCCTGTTCCTGACACCAAAGAGTGTTACATGATTATAGGTTCGTAATACATTGAATGCACAAGTTTGATAAAAGGTTAATAAAATTTATTCTTATCAAAAGAAATATAACAGAACGCTGGAATTTTCCTCAGAGATATTCCTACAAATGTTCACAATATCATGCAATATAATCAGTTGTTATACTTCAAACTACTAATAACGGTAAAATAAAATGCAATGCAAAGAGAAAGCTAATTCAGATATCTCATTTGACATGGAACCAAACTCGCAACAACAACTAACTAACTAACTAACTAAACAACTGAGCTGAGATGTTCTCTCTCTGGCCTTTTATAGCTCGCGCACGATAGTTCTAGCATTTTCTGCTTCTCGAGATTTCTGAAAAGCAAAAAGAGTAGAATTATGGTTACAGCTAACATAGTAGTCAATTACATTTATTCAATTTCAATACAAATATAAGAGATATCCATTTATTCAATGTTAAGTGCACGCGCTCTTATATTTTTACTTTTTTTTACTTTTTCAGCATAGCTTTCTCTTAAAATTTATCACGTGCTGCATTGCACAGGGAAATAAAGCAATTTAAATTATAATTCTACTAAAGTTAGCTAACAGTATTTAAGTAATAGCACCATTTAATCAAGAAGGTATGAAATATATGTTTTCAAGTAGTTTTGCACTTTAAAATAGCATAGAGTATGTTTTGATTTTTATTTCTGGAGCTTTACTTTCATTTGTGTTACATAATGATTGCTTCCAAATATTTGTAAGCACATGTAACCTTCAAGAAAAGGGAATTTTAAAATTTTTAGAAGATAGACTTAATGTGTTAATATCCTAGAAATTTTTAGAACAATTGAAGGTTTTTTTTTAAATCAGCACAATTCATATTATTGTAGTTGCTTTTAGTTTGCTGCCCTGATCATTATAATTGTTAATGCTGTTAACTCCCATATTATTGGGCCTGAGTTTGGATTTCAGAGAAAGCATGGATGTTTGTAAGTATATAGTGTTTGCACGCCATGGGTGCACATAAAGTACTAGCAAACCAAAATCCCTATCAGGATTTCTCGTTGGTCGTAGAAGTGGAGTGGAAGACCCTTGGATCTGTCCTCCAGGGTATTCTCCATAGAAATTGGGATGGAACTTCCCCACTTTTGCAGATGTAAAATTATCACATCGGGCAATATTCTCACTGATGGGTTCAACCTATTTTAGGAAAGTGTCCAGCCACTGGAAAAGGGATGAGCATACCTGCCAACTTTTACGAATTTTTCGTAATTTTTACGAAAATGCGTTTGTCTTTACGATTTTACGATCGTAATCCATTTTTTATGATTTTTTTCCTTTTTCAAGTATTTTTAGTGATTTTTGTCGAAATTTTAGAATTTTTCGCCAATTCAGTGAATTTCGCCAATTGCATCGTGTTTTAAACTACCGCCACTAAACCGACTACTACTTCGAATCCAGTAACCTGCGGTTTCTCCCAACTCGCCGCTAAACCAGCCAATCCAATGCGCTGAACTTGTGGAATTACTCAGCTCGGATTCAGCAAGCGTTGATTGTCTGGTTTTTTTTTTCACACGCTGCAAATTTTCTTAATACGTCGTTGTTACGAAATGAGTTCAAAAAAACCGTATTCTCAATATTTTCGGCTGCCTACAAAGTTGAACAATTAAAGAATCCTTCAAAGGAAATAACTGCATTTTGCAACGTGTGCGTGTGTGACTTCATAATAAGTCACGGTGGAAGAAGCGACATTGTGAAGCATGTTAAGTCTAAAAAGCATGAAGTTAATGCTTCGGCTTCGACAACGTCAAAGAAGTGGATGATTTTTTTTTTTTTTTTTTTTTTTTTTTTTTTTTTTTTTTTTTTTTTTTTTTTTTCAAATTCGGCTACGAATTCGGATGCCGATGTCATTTTGGCAGAGTGTTTGTTTACTGCATTCCTCATCGAACACAACGTGCCGCTAAGCGCTGCGCCAGCAACTTTTCAGAGACGGATGTTTCCCGACTCAATTCAAGATTGCTCAGAAATATCAACCGGGAACTTGTAAATTCTTTGAAAGATCATGAGAAAAAATAATTTAAGATTGCTCAGAAATATCAAACCAGGGAACTCGTAAATTCTTTGAAAGATCATGAGAAAAAATAATTTTTTCAATGTGTTAGAAAGTACTTTTCCTCAGCCTGTGATTACATTGTAAGGAAGTTTCCTTTGCAAAATGAAGTTCTTTTAAAATGCTGAAGTGGCAAATTTGAAACAAATTGAAAATTCATCTTTTGAAAAGATTCGTTTTTTTATTGATAAATTTCCATTTTTGTTAACAATTAAAGAAAATGAATGCCATAATGATGCTTTAGATGAACTACAGAACCAATTTTCTGCTGCACAGTTTGAAGACTTTGCCAGTTCTGGAGAAGATAGACTTGATGTCCTCATTGGTACCTTAAAAAGAATAAAAAGAGCTGATGGAACACCAAAATATGATAGACTAGCAAGAGTTTTATGTGCTATTCTCGTAATTCCACACAGTAATGCTGAGTGCGAGAGAGTCTTCAGTGTTGTGAAGAAAAACAAAAGTGCCAGCCAGTGCCAGTCATGATCATGCCATGGTTAAACGTATGTGACTGTCACTTCATCTACCCTACTGATATACCTATTACTGTGAAAGTATGAAATCCAGCATTCTATAGACTACATAGGCATTTTATAGAATGCCAAAAACTGGCTGGCAATGCATAAGATGATAAAACATTTCATACATTGCCTAGGCATTCTATAAAATGCCAAATGATAAACTGGCAATGTATGAAATGCATCCCAATATTATATAGAATGCCTAAGGAAAGTAAAATTATAATTCCTTTTGTTTTAAAGCGTGTTGCTGTTTTGAATGTTGATTTCATTTATATAACCAAATAAACATATTCTCCTAATGAAACTGCTTAAAAAGATGGTGAATTGTCAGTAATATTTTTTTATTGTATGTATTTCTTTTTAAACTGCTGTATGATTTTAGGGTTAATCATGGACGTCATCCGTGGTATTATGAAGGTTAATGTGACATCCTCTGTATACTTTAAAACTGCTACCAGTGAATTAGTTATGTTTTTCCTTTTAATAACTGTTTTATTTATAATATTTTTCTTTTCTAGGATTTGTTTCACTTGCTGGAGCTGATAATAATTTATGGAGTGTAAAAGGTGGAAATAAACTGGTTCCAGAGGGACTTTTGAAAGAATCTAAAGCTTCAGTAGTCAGTGGTGATGTGTTGGAAATAATAAATTCTGGTGACACTTTTTCATTAAAATATAATGAAACATCTCCATCTGGTAACACTGAAGTGCAGAATTATGATATTATCATTATAGCTGCTCCTTTTATTAAAGGTAATAAGAACATAAAGTTTACAGACTTCCCTAAAGATTTCAGTCAATATGAAACCACATATCACAGAACTGTGGCCACATTTGTAAAAGGTGATCTGATTCCTTCAGCATTCAATGTAAATTCAGTTCCTGAGGAGATACTTACTTTCAAAAACTCACTCTTATTCAATAGCATTGGGAAAGTTACTCCAGTTAGTGATACCCCCACTAAAGGTAAAAAAAAAGTATATAAAGTATTTAGTCAGCAGCTTCTAACTCCAAAGAATATTGATGAATTGTTTCAAAATGTTGAAATACTCAAAGAAAAGGATTGGCTTGCATATCCTGAATATAAGCCTCCTGAATCTCTTAGTCCATTTATGCTTTATCCTAGATTGTATTATATAAATTCAATTGAATTATCTGCAAGTGCAATGGAAATGAGTGCTGTAGCTGGAAAAAATGTTGCCCTGTTGGCATTTAACCTGTGGCATGATCTTATGGATAAGGTTGATAGTCATAAAAGAGTATATAAAGATGAGCTTTAACTTCTTTTATCTCATAATCTTATTACATTATGGGAGACTTCTAATAAAATAGGGTTCTGCTTTGAAATCTTCAGAATTTTCAGAAAGGTAGTATAGTACATAAAAATTGTTATGGATTTAACTTGTAAAATTAAACATCTGTCATATTTATTTTAAATGCAAATAAATAATTTTTGTTTTCTGTGTTAATAATGTATTTCTGTTAATAATGTATGTTTCTGTGTTAATAATGTATGTCCAGTGTGTTGACAAATGTAATTAATTATACTGAAAATTTATTAAGTAGACATGAGAAGGATCAGCAAACAATTGTTAGGTTGTTTTAAATTTTGAGTGTTTTATGACTGTAGCCTAATTGTGAGTAGAAATACTTGATAATTTGAGGAAAAACTACTTAATGTAAAAGTTGTAATTAGACTCGGATGTTATTAAATTTTGCTATTTTTCTCTTAAAGAAAATAAGTGATTAATGTGTAAATTTATATCATTTTTAATAACTTATTTTGTGCACTAAAGAATATATGTATATGGTTATATAAAGATCATTTTACACTGCTTTGATAAATGCTGATTTAATGTTATGCAATTTTTACTGAACCAGTGAAAAGCATTAAATTTGCAGTGAATTGTGATAAAATAATTTTCTGTACTAAAAGCATTAAATTTATGCTGATGCATTACTGTTCGCTCAATGATTGCAATATTGATAAATAATAATTGAATGGTTTGAATCATTGAATGTTCAACAATCATTCGCTGTAGAATTTTGTTTGAAATTTCATTATCCATTTATCATATGATATGGTATTTTTTCCCTCAGTAGCTTATGTCACTGTGCAAGACATTCAGTCTAAAAATAGAGCAGAGATGTAAGCTGTAGACCACACATTTACATAATTAATATATATTATTTATAATGCAGTTAACTTCATATAACTGTACTTACTGTTTCTGTGATAAGTGCAGTCAAAAGTCGTTAATTCGGACACCCATAATCTGGAATGATCTATAATCCGGACCCCAAAGCTAAAAACTTTCTGCGCATAGGTCGCATTGGCACATGCGCACAGGCGTTTTACGCGTGCACGTAAGACCTTGACTACTGCGCATATGCGTGTGCGCAAGTGCAGAATACGTTTTCGCCTGCGCATTTAATGTATAACGGACGCTGTAAGCTAAAATTATCTAATTATCTATTTCAGTTAATGTTAATGATTGCGTTGTTCCTTAATCTTCGAATTGGATCCCGCTTATTATTTTTTGCCAGACTGTAAGAGCAATTTTATAAAAGTAAACTTGAACTTTCGATTATGTCAAATTAGAATTTCTGATGCTGGAACTTCCAAAGGATCTACAAAACGAAAGTATGTTTCGATGGTCCAACAAACAAAAAGTGGAATTACTGCAAAAAATGTATAAAGACATGAAGAATGTGACAGAGAGGTTTGTGAAAACGAAAAAAATTTTGATTGACAAGTTAGTCGGTATTCTCGGCACAGCAATTAACGAGACTTGAAACAGCGGAACTTTGTAACTGAACAAGAAATTATGTCTTTTTATAGAATTAAAGAGAAAGTATTATCACATAAAAGACGCAAACTTAAACAACTTACATTGAGAAAATGTTAATAAAATAAACAAATAATATTAAGCTTTTTTTTTTTTTTTTTTTTTTTTTTTTTTTTTTTTTTGTAAATTTCGATACTTTTGATCATAATTGTTCTTTATTTCATAAATTACGGTTTTAAATTTGTAATTTTAGAATTTCTGCATGCCATCTTACGAGATTTAAAACTGATGATCTATAATCCGGAAAAAATCGATACCGGAATCGCCGAAGTCCCGACGAGTCCGGGTTAACGACTTTTGACTGTACTATTTAAAACTAAACAGCCTATGAACAAGAAAGAACAAATAATATGCATCATTTAAGTAATATGTTCCATAAACTTATTTCACGAGAACAGCGTAGTTTCTGAAAATAATTTAAAGAATTCTTAAAAGATGAAAGTGATGAATAAATTGATCCTTAAAATTAATGTTTATTCAATAATTATTTATCAAATTTCTTAACTTCAATGTCGGAACTTAATCTGCCAATAAATTTATCCTACTTTTATTCATTAAAGTAATCTTGCAGAAGAAAAAAAAGTGTTCTTTAATATAAATTATAAATTTGAATCATAATCTTCCTATTTTCATTGATAAATAATTATATATGTGTAAGATAAAAAGTATGAATGCAAACTTCTAAATTTAATTCACTATAACCTCTTTTATTTTTATTTCATTTGGAATCATCATCACTCTGTCCTAAAAATAGCACTGTAAATCTAAACTGCGTCATTCAAAATAATCATGCGATCTTACTTAACCGTTAATGCAGATGCCTCTTGACCAATCACCAAATTTTAAACCATAACTAAAAACTGACTCCCTCCCTTCTTTCTATGAACTGATGCATCACTTTTGCTTGTGCTTCCTCTTGGCCAGACACCTGTCTGCAATCATGTATGTGCTGCTAAATTCTCTTCTATGGCAATAGTATCAAAATTGTAAATGTTCTTTAATAGACACGAGTAGAATTCCAAGTGAATTGTGGCCACAAAATGGGACTTTAAATAGAAAAAGGAATTTAATCTTGCTTGACTGCTTCTTCTTCAAAAATAGATGGACGCTCTAAACCTATGAGCTAATTAATAATAGTGGAATACAAATTATTAAAAAGCAATAATCAAAAGTGTTCTGTCAATACATCTATTTACTGTCTGTTATGATATTATGACTGCTGTTATGATTTAGAGCTGCATTTCCTAGAAGTATTTTAATTTTTAATCAGGATATTGTTGGGCTTTTATGCATATGTAATATCTTTCCTAGCTGTTGCTTTTTAAATTTTAGACAGTTTTTAATTGAGTAGAAAACCTTTGCGTTCTAATAAGTTTTATTTTCAAATTTCGATGATGTAATTTATTCTTCATAAGAATTTTAATATTGTATAAATGCAACTGTAGATTTAAAAAAAAAAGTATTTATATATAAAATTCCTTAAATTAATTTTAAACTAATGAATTTTGATAATGAATACCCATGCAAAGTTTATATTTACCTTTAACTAAGATTTAAAGTATATTTGTGTAAGCAGGGATATTCATCCATATAAACAATAATTAAATTTGCTGTCAGAAGTATTCTTAAGTTTTAGATAATCAATTCACTACAAGCATATCTATTAAGCTTTGTTTAAACAAGATACTAAATGGTAAAGACTGCTGGGTAATTTACACCAGGGAAGCATCGGGAGCAGATCTGCTTGAAATGGTTGCCTTCATGAAGAATTTTCGAAAGGGACCTAGCATTTTATTTATGTTGCATCAGAAGAAAATAAAAACTGCAGACCAATTTTTTATTGGAGAGAGAGGATCCATTAAGAAAAAGCTTAGAAGTACAGCACAAAGTCCAAAATCCAGAAACATCAGTACTTTAACAGGAAGCATTTATCATCTTCTGGAAATTAAAATTTACAAAATAAATAAATAAAACTCAATTTTTATTTATTTATTTTGTTAAACATTTCCTTTCAGTGTAAATTGTTAAAGCTTCCTCCCCTCCCAAGTTAGACCCATCAGTAGCATGCCCTTGCTGCAAAGCCTTTTTACCCATTTTATAATCCCTTTGTCACGAACATCACTTTAGCACAATGAATGGTTTTTCTGTTACTCATTGCCAGTGACGTGTCAGAATCCACAAAAAAAAATTTAAAACTTCTGTTTCCTGTCTTTCCAGTACCATACTTCTCGAGTAATTTTCTTCAGATATGCCTTTATCAGTTTTTACTTCCTTGTACAAAGTAAAAAGGAAGTATTGTAATCGCGAAAAGCTTCAGGCAGCATATTTCAATGAAAATATCACTCTGACCGCTTTCGAATGCAATTTAATGATGTTTTTGCGTGATATCTGTACGTAAGGACAGAATAAAAGACTCTTTTCCTCCAAAAAATTTAAGAAACTGCTTTAAAATGAATTCTGAAGAGAATTTTTACATGGCGTTTTTCAATTTTTCATTCAATTTTCTGTACGAACGTATGTACGGCCTCAGAACGTTGAAATTTTGTATATAAGACTACTATAACATGTAGATGTGCACCTCGTATTTTGGTTTCAATTGGCCACGCCAAAACGTATATAAGTATATTATAATATATACACTCTGTTACCCGGCTCGGTGATCTCAGTTTCTTACTCTTATATTTTTGTAATTGTACATTTTTTTTTGCTTTAAAAAATGATTGAATTATATTGTTTTTATTTCTTGGTTAAGGATTTTATTCCTTTAGTAATCTGTATGCAATATTTTAGAATTATCAACAAAATTTTTAAAATTGTTTAAGTCCGCTAAGCCTAATTTGATGGCGGCCATTGCTCTTGTTTACATTTGAAAACAGCTTGAGTAGCGGATTTGTTGCCAATCTAGAGAAACTTAGCTTCGCACAACAAAGATATCGCCTTCATTTATTATTTAAATCATGCCTAATCCATTCTTGAATTTTTTCGAGGAATTAAGCGTTTAAGATTTACTTTCGTAATTTTAATACAGATATTTTGAGTTTTTTTATGTATTTCTGCTTTAATCGCGAAGTGAAAACTGAATTAATTGAATGAGAAATACTCAATCGTCTGTGAAAACTGTTTCTTTTTTGTTTTTTGTTTTTTTTCTTAATTTCTTTATACATCATTCTAGCTTTATTATAGTATTTGAATAGAACATGTGGCAATGATTAGATAATTCTTAAAAATGATATAAATTTTGTGGCATTTGAGTTATAATATGAACGAAATATAATACTGTTAAGTAAACCTAGCGCAGAGTGTCGCTATGGTAAACAAAGTGAATTTTAAAGAATGCATTTATTCTATTGTGGTTTATGTGCTGTCAGCGAAGTAGGTTTAATTCAATCTAATAAGTTTAAATGAAATGCAAGAAAAAATGCGTATAATTTAATATTCCGTACAAGGAAGTCGTAGTGTACACATCAGATTTTTTACAATAATTCTACTTGACATAACTATTGACATAAAAGTATGCTTTTGCTTTACAGGTCATACTGCAACTCCAGAATTAGAAATTTTTTTCAAATCATCAAATAGTCAAACAATAAAAAATTCAAGCTTTAATTTTGATAAGATAATAGCCTTCAAAAATAATTTTGCAAGAATAATACCCTTCAAAAAATAATAAGCTTTATCAAATTAAAAATAGGAGTTCAATTTGCTATGTCAACTTCCTAAGAATTTAATTCTTTCTACATCCCTGCTGCTATGCCAACAAAAGAAAAGTAGTATGAGGATATGAGTAAACATCAGATTCCAAACAAATGTGTCTTGGAGCACTCATTGTCAGATAGAAAAATGCTACTCTGCATACAATTGAGGGCTGAAAATGGACAATATCAATATAGCGTCAATTGATGTATTGGCTTTGGTTGCAGTGTGATTCTCGAGCTAGCAGATTTTTGAAAGTGATCTCGAGTAGGAGAAAAATCACTTTTATGGCACCTGTTTTTAACTTTTTAATATTTATTCTCCATCCCTATGCTTTGTAAGGAAAACGAATTGCTGTGGGTCTGAATGTCCAGATATTAGATCATTCTGTATATCAGATATTTCAAATTTTGTA